CCACGCTAGTAGTAACAGGTGCCTTACTAGTAGTAACAAGAAGCTAGATTTAAAATTAAAGTAAATTTAAGTAGGCACTTGTAAGGCACTTGTTACTACTAGCGTGGCACCTTGTTACTACAAGTGATACCAAGTCATCCACCGATCTGCGGGTACAAACCACGCACAATGAGGGTTGGTGCCGAAGGCAGATCGGTGGAGCTGCTTGTGAAAGGCCTTGGTTTCTAGTAGCGTCCTTGCTCCTAGTAGCGATGCCAGGAGCCCCTAGTAGCTTCTTGTTCCACGTAACACGTCACAATGGTAGTTATCTTGGGCAATTTTTCGTACGCCGAACAAATCTCCTTTCTCGAGGCTAGTGACTATCGGTCCTTCTACCCTGCGGCCAAACTGCAGAACGTCGGCATTTGGGACAACCTGCACAACCAAGGGAGACCCACATGAGGCCTTTGTTGAGGGAGGCCCCTGTGCCTACTATCCAATCCCGCACCTTTTTCCCAACATCCCAGCTGATGTGGCCAAGTGGCAAATGGCGGTGGTGCCAAAGTTGGTATTCCTCTTGTCAATGGCCATGAGTGAGCACAAGTACCTGAATAGAATTAGAAAAGTGCCCAGAGCAGAATCAAACCCACCGACGAAGCTACTAGTAGCGTCCTTTGTTCCTAGTAGCGATGCCCTTTGCTCCTAGTAGCGTCCTTTGTTCCGTTCGTAGCGTCCGAACAACGTGTCAAGCCTCGGTCCTTTCTTTTCGACATCGCAGAATGGGGATTTCATCGCGAATGCGAACCACGTTGTCGGATGACGACCGTGGGCACATCAAAACATTGAATGGGTGTATGCTGAGATCGAAAACAATGACGCCTTTTATCAAGAAAATGAATCCTGCAATTTGAGGAATGCTTCCATCTATGGGCGACAGCGGGTCGCATTCGCTGTATAAAGTTCGGTGCGTTAGTGTCCTCTTTGTGGTCGCGGGGAGACCCTTTCTTCACTGACTTCAAGATGATTTGAGATCCTCAGGTTGGAGGCCGTTGCTATTAGGAGCAAGGAGCTACTAGGAGCAAAGGGCATCGCTACTAGGAACAGGGACGCTACTAGGGGCTCCTGGCCTTACTACTAGGAACAAGAAGCTACTAGGGGCTCCTGGCATCGCTACTAGGTTGGCAGCTTGGTCTTGGTCTCCAGTCTGCCAAAATGAACACCGAGGACTGAGCTACGAAAACCCTGTGGAGTCGGTGCGTCCCCCACTGTGAGGCGTCAGTTCTGTCATTTTCGTCTTGTAATTAAACCCATTACTACTAGTAACAAGAAGCTACTAGGAACAAGGGCATCGCTTCTAGTAACAAGTGCCTTACTAGTAGTAACAAGAAGATACTAGGTGGAGGCCATCGCTAGTAGGTTGGAGGCCATTACTACTAGTAGCAAGAAGCTACTAGTAGACCTTGCTTCCTTTTCTTTCCTTGTTTCTAATTAGGGCAGTGTGCTCTCAATGCTTACACGGGGGAACCGGGGGAACCTCTTAGCTCTAACCTCTTAGCTCTCCAGGGGCAATGGAGAAACATGCCCGAAAAGCCTCTTTCCAGTGGTTCGCCGATTCCAGAAAACTCAAAGCATATAAGGTATTATAAAGTGACAAGGAGTCAGAAAGCTTGGCAATGCGACATCCGAAAAAGCAAACGCATCTGGAGTGACTGAGGGCTGATGATGGCATCAGTCCAACTTCAAGTGCTCATCCAACCACCAACACGCCATATGCAGCGATGCCATGGTGCACTTGAGCGCTGTGTCGCTCACTGTGTAGAAGCGCTGACATGCATAAGAACTGGAGCGGCCAAACATACCCATCATAAAGACAGCTGTGTAGAACACAAACATGCATTGTGTGAGTATGATGCTATAGCCTTTGACTACAGGTCGTGTGCTTGTCAAAAGATGCTCGCTGACCAGCACCACCTCGTCAATCACCTGAAAAATGTAGGCCACGCAGCCAAGCACAATGAGACCCCAACCAATCACCGGATCGCACAAAATACTTCCCAACCAGCAGGCCACACAGTATGCAGCCGTGACCGCCAGTTGCGGAAACATCCTTATGGCAACCTCCAAAGGCCGGCAATGATCCAGGATCGGATACAAATTCATGAACAGCAAGGTCGGAGCTGCAAGTGTCCAACCACCCCAGCGGACAGTGTAGATCGGCCTCAGGTCGAAGGCTCGTTGGTTCAGGAAAGCAACACCATTGCCTCGCGACAGCATCGTGTAGTAGGTGATGGCGATGGAGAACTCCGCCAATGCCACACCTGAGATCACAAGTGCTTTGCTTCGAGGAATGCTGAAACACCTTTCTCTTGCATGGAACAGTGCCATAAGGCTCCATGGCAGAATCAAGATTGAACGGGCTGTGCGGAAGATGCCAATCTCATCTTCTGGGATCTCAGACTCATAAAGAGGTCCAACCTCACAGCATGCCAATGCCAGCACACAGCAGAAACCCAGAAAGACGGTCGAGTTGATGCAGCAGCGAGCTGTGAATGGCCAATCTGCCAATGATCCCCGCGGTGCCAACTGCCGCCCAGACTGCCCAGTGTCAGACGGAAGCACTACACTATCTGAAGTAGCTGCCGAAAGTCCCATGTAGAGCACTACACGACTCCTTCAGATCCGGGGTCCACGAGAACAGCGCGTCTTGGGCCAGAAGGGTTTCATGTCGTATCAGCAACATGTCACAGAAATGGCCAACGGAAAGAAGCACTTGAGATTGACGACTCGTCCCGGGCTAACTGAGTAGTTATATAGATAGAATGCACACCAGGAGAAAGCAAACAGTTTAAGGATGCAAGTCCTGTAGATAGGCAGATGTGGCGCTTGCTCACTAGCACGTTGGATGAACACTTCTGCCATATACAACCGGATCGCTCTGCTTGGTCACTCGAAGCCGGGCTTCTTCCACTTGGCGATGAGGGCAGCATCCTGAAGAAGCTGGAAAAGTAGGCAGGGGTGAAAAAACAGGACATCCCTATTGGAAGGCTGAAATTCTCTACGCATGACTGACCCCAGATCTCATCTGGTGGTTGTTGATCAAGGTGGCTGTTGTGCTAGCTGCCACCAAGCAGAAGAATGAAAGTCGGCCGTGTGCAGTCCCATACCAATGAAGTGCAAACGACCTGTTTGCAGCCCCAAACCTGCATGTGAGTGTAGATCAAAATTCTGAAGCCAAAATAGGAACCGAGTCTGTAAAGGAAGAAAGACCTCTAATGCAAAGCAGTCTGACCGCCTTTTCCGCATCGACAGTGAATCCGAGGTGAGTCTAAGGGTTCACCAGAGGAGTTACCCGAAGAGTCAGGGAACTGGCTTGTCTATGGTTATCTACCAAGCCAAAACCGATTTAAGAGGTAGCTGCGAATGACCTCACTCCAACATGTCCCATCTGTTCTCTCATTTCCTCTCTGCCGCTGAGGAGCTGCATATTTCTCTTGAAGAAGCCAGTCATAGAGCTCTCTGCTGATTGCCTAGCGCTTTGTTGTCTTGTGTCAACCCTCAACGAAGGATTCCGCGCCAAGTCATTTGTCGGACTTCGCACTCTGAGCATCCGAAAACGAACTGATTGCATTGGCTCTCCCTCAAAGGGTCAAAGGCTGTCCATGAACACGTTCCTTCCCTCTATTCCCGAACCGTCGTGTTTATCACCATGAAAGAAAAGGTTAGTTTCTATGACCTTGGAGGTCATCGCTAGTAGGTTGGCCATTGCTTTATCACCCCTGCCTTTTTCGGGGTTTCCCCTAAGGCCCTTGGGCCTTCTTCTTGTAGAAGAGCTCATAGACATACCTCGATCGCTCCCAATGGATCTTGGTGATCTTCCAAGTGGCCTGGAGACGTTGGCTGATCTCTTCAAAGACAAGGCCACAAAACTGGACAAGGCGACATCACGCGAAATCCCTCACTGGTTCATCTTTGTTTGTTCCCTACTGACTGTGAAAGAATTCGTACGACTAGAATTCGTACGGGATACGTCCGTTCAACATGGTTCAACAACTTTTAAGTCGCGCTCTTCTACCTAGGACCTGTGTTCGGCCATCTCTTGGCAGGTTTGCCCAAATGGGCGAGTGAAACCCTAAAGAGTGACCGACGGGCGGAAATTCACGGCCTCACCGATAGGAAGCTAAAATGAGGAAAAGGTGACTAGAAGCGATGCACTTGTTCCTAGTAGCTTATTGTTTCTAATAGCTTCTTGTTACTACTAGTAAGGCACTTGTTACTAGAAGCGATGCACTTGTTCCTAGTAGCTTATTGTTTCTAATAGCTTCTTGTTACTACTAGTAAGGCACTTGTTACTAGAAGCGATGCACTTGTTCCTAGTAGCGTATTGTTTCTAATAGCTTCTTGTGACTACTAGTAAGGCACTTGTTACTAGAAGTGATGCACTTGTTCCTAGTAGCTTATTGTTTCAAAAAACTTCTTGTTACTACTAGTAAGGCACTTGTTACTAGAAGCGATGCACTTGTTCCTAGTAGCTCATTGTTTCTAATAGTTTCTTCTTACTACTAGTAAGGCACAGATGCACTTGTTCCTAGTAGCTGATTGTTTCTAATAGCTTCTTGTTACTACTAGTAAGGCACTTGTTACTAGAAGCGATGCACTTGTTCCTAGTAACTTTTTGTTTGCTTCTTGCTACTACTAGTAAGGCACTTGTTACTAGAAGCGATGCACTTGTTCCTAGGAGCTTTTTGTTTCTTGAGCCAGGAGTCCCTAGTAGCTTCTTCTTCCTAGTAGTAAGGCCAGGAGCCCCTAGTAGCGTCCTTGCTCCTAGTAGCGATGCCAGGAGCCCCTAGTAGCGTCCTTGCTCCTAGTAGAAAGGCCAGGAGCCCCTAGTAGCGTCCTTGCTCCTAGTAGCGATGCCAGGAGTGCCTAGTAGCGTCCTTGCTCCTAGTAGCGATGCCAGGAGCCCCTAGTAGCGTTCTTGCTCCTAGTAGTAAGGCCAGGAGCCCCTAGTAGCGTCCTTGCTCCTAGTAGTAAGGCCAGGAGCCCCTAGTAGCGTCCTTGCTCCTAGTAGCGATGCCAGGAGCCCCTATCCTTTAATAGCTTCTTGTTACCACTAGGCACTGGTTGCTAGAAGCGATGCGCTTGTTCCTAGTAGCTTATTGGGTCGCTTGGGGTTGGACCACTTGGGGGTAGGATGGAGGCCGTCGATCGCTAGTTGGAGGCCACGGCTATTAGGGAGGCCATCGCTGTTGGGTTTGAGGCCATCGCTGCTAGGTTGGAGGCAATCGCTAGCAGGTTGGAGGCCATCGCTATTACTCAGAGGGCCGTTATAACTTGCGGTACTCATACCTACAGTCGCGTCAGTTGTACATGCACTTAAGTTGAACTTACTCGGGGTACTTACGCGGAGCGCATAAGTACCGCGTATGTACCGCGTAGTTTCACTGTTTTGTTGCGTTTTTGTATGATTTAGACACCATGACGCATGCTCTCGAGCAGTCTTTTTTCAACTAATGCAGGCAACACACGTCGGATCCTACGAAACACCACCAAGCAGCAAGCGTCACGTCGATTTCTGGCTGTGGCTTCCACCACTTCTTCAGGCCTGATGTCTTCCATCGACTGCCCCATGGGTGGTCTGTGATTTATCTCCATAGTCTGCAAGTGCAGATACCACGCAGGGCCACAAACCGCCTTGATGAATTGGCCGGCTACATTGTCAGTGAGCACGACTGCATGTCGCCCACGGCAATCTTTCTCTTCCACATGAAGACGCTGTCTGCGCAGAGAAGTCCATTGCCCCACTCGCCCATGCCATATCTCTGACTGCCCTCGGCGTCGCGCAGAACCAAACGAGTAAGCATGGCTCTCTGCAAGCGGAGGGAGTCGCCGCAGCAACCTTCCAAGCAATCAACGAGACCATGTTTGATTTCTTGGTGCTTCTTTTCTTGAATGGCGCAGTGCGGCAAGAACCGCAACTGCTCGCAAGCAGTGGGAATGTGAAATCTGTGGTGATGCTTGGGCCGCACCAGGTCGTCGCCCCAAGCTCTCCGGACCAGCTCATGGCGTCTCAACTTCTGAACCTGTCTGGAATCAAGCGGCGCAATCACGTAAGACAGCCGTCGGAGCTCTGAGCAGATCTGCAAGCGCGTCCCATGTTCCGACGAGCCAGTCTTTGAGTTGACTCGCAGTCAACTTAAGGAAGCGTGCGCCACGCGGGCGCCCCGTGCCTGGTCGACAGCAGAGCGCGCGCGCGCGTCGTCCATCTTTGTTGCCACGAAAGTCTCTGCGTCTCCGCGTCGGCCATGTCCAGGGACGACTAATATGTGTGCGGAAACAGCGTCGGGCCAGAAAGCCTGCGCGCATACAAATATCCTATTTTCAAGAAATATCCACTAGAGGCCGCGGACGTTCCGCGGACGTTGGCCCCTACCTACTTTAATAAGCAGCCCCAGTCCCGCGGACATCCGCGGACGTTCCGCGGACATCGCCAAAAACCACAAAACGTACATGCCCTGAACGCGATATGGCGCTGCCGGAACCTCCTTTTTCTTGACCGCGACTGAACGCGAAGACAACGCTATCGTCTCCTGTTCTGCGCGCGTGAGTGTGACCTTTGTCGCTATATACTTGCCTTGTGGCTGCTTGCCTTCTCTCTCGCCTTGTGTTGGCGACGCGCGCTGCGTATACAGCTGCGCACTTCCCGGTTGTTGGCGCAAAGGCCAGTCCTGGGAACCCGCAGTTCCCTGCAGCGCGCTGTCGTTTGCGCGCAGACCGTGCCCGGTGAACACGCGGTTGCACGCGGGAGGACAGTCCTGGGAACCCGCAGTTCCCCGGATGCATGCGGTGTGCACTCCACGCGCATGGGGCCCCGGACTTCCCTGCGGCGCGCCCGCGGTGGGAACACGCAGTTCCCGTATACGTCTTCGCGCTTTACAGGCGCATTTTACAGGCGCGTCCTGCAGGCGCGTCCACGGGCGCGTCCTCAGGCGCGTCCAGGCGCGTCCTGCAGGCGCGTCCACGCGCGCGTCCTCAGGCGCGTCCCCAGGCGCGTCGCGCCGAGCCCGCGGTCGCAGACGTCGACTTCCTGCAAGCAGCCATCAACTTCTCTTTTATTCTTCCCTGGGCGCAGAAGTCTAAAGCTTCTATCAGGCTTGCCTCCTCCTCCAGAGGTACTCCCGCACGAGACAAATGGTCTGCTAGCGAGCTCAAATGCATGCCTGATTTCCTGTTGGCTGGGCTCCAAACTCTTCAGAGCCTGCTCCATTGCTTTCACACAAGGTTCCCAACTGCAACCACTCATGCCAAAAGTATTGCTCGAGCGCGGTTTGAACGCGCGTTTTGAGCCGGATTGACGCTGCTGCGTGCATGTACATGCTACTCTGAGTAGATAAACTATAAGTTCAAAATTCAATGTTTTTGCAAGTAGCGCGTATGTGCCGTGTAAGTCACGCAACTTACTTCCGCGGTACTTACCATGTTGAACTTACGAAGTTCCGTAACTGCAGGTAGTACTTGCGGAACTCGTGGACGATATGACTTCCGTACGTGAACTTATAATTAGCTTATAAACAACTTATAACAGCCACAACTTATAAAGGCCCTCAGAGTAGGTTGGAGGCCATCGCTATTAGGTTGGAGGCCATCGCTATTAGGTTGGAGGTTGGAGGCCATCGCTGCTAGGTTGGGGGCCATCGCTATTAGGTTGGAGGCCAATGCTATTAGGCTGGAGGCCACCGCTATTAGGTTGGAGGCCATCGCTATTAAGTTGGAGGCCATCGCTACTAGGTTGTAGGCCATCGCTGTTAGTTTGGAGGCCATCGCTATTGGTTGGAGGCCACCACTATTAGGTTGGAGGCCATCGCTATTAGGTTGGAGGCCATCGCTATTAGGTTGGAGGCCATCACTGTTAGGTTGAAGGCCATCGCTATTTGGTTGGAGGCCATCGCTATTAGGTTAGAGCCCATCGCTATTAGGTTGGAGGCCATCGCTATTTGGTTGGAGGCCACCGCTGCCGCTATTAGGTTGGAGGCCATCGCTATTAGGTTGGAGGCCATCGCTATTGGGTTGGAGGCCATCGCTATTAGGTTGGAGGCCATCCCTACTAGGTTGGAGGCCATCGCTATTAGGTTGGAAGCCATCGCTATTAAGTTGGAGGCCACTGCTATTAGGTTGGGAGGATAGATTTTTCTTCGTGCGTGGTGGCCGGATGGCCGTGGCTGTGACTGGCTGGCTGTGGCCGGATGGCCGGATGGCCGGATGGCCGTGGCTGTGAGTGGCTGGCTGTGGCCGGATGGCCGTGGCTGTGTTGACCGAGAACCCCCTATATCCACACATAGCTTTTGCTGAGATCTTTTTCCAACGCCCTGCGAGGTCCGAGCTCAGATTTCTCTGGCTAGACTGGCTGTTCACGTGTGCGCTTCTTTGTCTGCGCTCGTTGCTTGTCTCGAATTGCCTGCAAGCGGGCTAGATTATGCACATCTGCGCATTCGGTGACGACCAGCTGTGCAAAAAATCGACTCATATGATGAATCGTATGCCCCAGCGGGCTGAACTGACTATTTACGATTTCGGCTATTCCCGTTGGAAAGTTGCCGAGCAAGGTCTCATTATCAGCAGAAGTGGGGAGGCAATGTTGGCTGCAGAACTGGCCTGTGTGTCCAGATGCATGAAACCGATCGACAATATAGTCCATAGATGCAAGACGTTCAGCTGTTTCACTACTGCTTCGGTGTTGCAGAGAGAAAAGCTTCAGGTGGCAAGCATCATCGTGGCAAATGATTCTGAGCCCATCCCAACGGTCAGCCAATCGACTGATGAAGCAATACCTTTGCGACAGCGATTCTGCGCGAACGAGCTCTTGCAAATCACCGATGAGTCCTGCATG